GTGTCCAAGGAGGACTACAGGAATGGTGGAAAACTGGGTATACCTTCACTGTTACCAAAGCAAAATCAGAATATGGTCTGGAAGGCAGAAAAGGGCCACTAGGAGGGGCAAAAAAACCCTAGTGATTAAAAAGGCTGTCACACATTAGAATTCCACTTAAATGGGACATTTTTTTTTTAAAAGAAAACTGATTTAAATTCTTCCACAACCTGCAAAATAATGTATGAAGTAGCAGTGAATATTACAAAACCCTAAGGAACTCGAAACCTTCTTTATATTTCTCAGGCGTAGGCAGGACAAGGTAGAATCTACTTTAACGTAATCTGTTTGGATGTCCTCCAAAAAAAAAAAAAAATCCCAAACAGACAAATCAGACAAATCACAAGCACGTTTCTCAAGCTTAGCATACAAGCTGTGCTGCCACTTGCTCAGCAATCAACAGTGCAGCAAGAGGGTCAGCTACTATCATGGGGATCTAGAAACTCAAAGCAAGGTTTCTTCTGTTATAGCTGGAATAAGAAGTTGCTGAAATTGACTGTCGGGCTTCATCACACAGAGCAGGAATGAACCATTTAGGCCAGTTCACATCAAGAACCACAGATAAGATTTACTGAATAAAGAAACCATAATGCAAGAATATTAACAAGTCCAGTACATCAAGAATGAACCCTGTATATAGAAACAATGTTCAATCCTTCATTCCTGTTCTAAGGGATTATTTGGCCCCCTCTTTTGGGCCAGCTGGCTTGTCTCTATCTGTCCTCTGTTTTTGTAACTGTCCAAGTTATTAACATGTTATTTTTCATGACTGTGGGAGAATTTCTCACACCATATTCTTATTGTACCAAGATAACGGAATAGCTTATCCCTGAAATTATAAGGTATGGAGAATAGTTAGAAAGCATATTTCAGTCTAGAAAAGCTCCAAACACTATTTCAGGTATATTTAATAAAAACACCATGCCCACTGCTACTTGAGAAGTTATATATTCTATATTTTTGTGAACCACATTACATTTTGGGGAGTAATTTATAAATTAAAACAGTGAAAGTCTGTGTAAGAGACAAGTCCAGGAGAAGTACTTATTAGAAATGATAACTGGTGTGGGTGACAGGGGATAAAGATCAGAGAGAGAAAGTGAAGGCAGGTTAATGGATTTTTTTTTTTTTGAATGATATGTAGTGTCAATTACATATGCTAATACATGACTTCATTGTTTTAATATTTAACTAGCAATTGTAGGAACCCGTCATGAACAGACTGTGGGATATAGGAGATTACTTTAACACTTTCTTTCACACTATAGTTTTGGTGAAAACTGCTTTATTTTTCCCCCCCTAGGAGGAGTTTCCACTGGTGTCAGTGGAAACCTCATTGCATAGAGGTTATCACGCACCCCTTGTATCTTCATTAGGCTTCAGAATGATCTGATGGTTAAGGAATGATGGAATTCTTGTTCAGACTAGTTGACAGAGGCAACTACACCTTTGTTATGTACAATCTGCCCTCTGTTTGGTAAAAATGATTCTACCCTCACCAGGATATACCTGATTGGGATTATCCTGCCTGTAATAGGTAACATATTACATAAAATATGTAAATTATACCTTTAGTCTTGAACAGAAGTCTGAATCTTTTCATGAGGATTGACAGTGAGCGTAATACTATTCATGAGGCCTCAGGCAGTATTTTTAATTACCCTTTGCTCTATATTGCTTTCATATTTACTGGTATTCATTTTCAGACATGTGTTTGTCTTAATACTAGACAAAACCCATCTGTCACATAAAAGCCTAAAGCTAACTGAAACATTTCACAGTGTGTCCTGGTATTCCAAGTCTATCCTGACAAACTGCATAATCAGCAGATTTAGCAGCTTATAGGAAAATGTATTTCGATCAAACTGAGCAAGCTCAGTACTTGGGTGATCTTCTCTCCCACTATCAGCAGGAGATAAGGAAAGGGACTAAGTCACACTTATAGGAAAGTGAGGGGACAAAGTCTCCTAACAAAATAAAAAAGCAGAATCAGAGTGTTTAATTTTGAACATGCTGAAACTAAAAATCACTTAAAAAAAACTTACATAATTATGAAGACAGGCCAATATTAAGGATACTGAAAGTTTATATTTATAAACCTAATTCCAAAACGTATTTTATTATTTACAAACGGATATCAAAATTTGCAATGGATTTCCAAGTTGTATAACTCAGGAAGAAAAGTATGGTAATTTCATCACATCTGCTGCAAGACCAACTGCTTTTGGTTTTTCCAGTTGTAACATAGCCGATAGCCATGTTCTCATCATGCTGGTCATAATATGAATTGTAACTTTAACAATTAGTGTCTCAGTGCACTGCTTCTTCGCCCCCCCCCCTCAAATATTTTCCATATGTGTTATACTTTTAGCAGTAAGCCTGAAGGTAGAGATTCATATTTACGTTCTGCTCCAGGAGGTGGGTTGTTTTTTTTTTTTGCTAAAATGCAATATAAACATTCTATAAAATTAAGCTCAAGATACTTAATAAATTACAGTAAATCCAGAAACATGCTACAGTATATACAAGAAAAAAAGAAATGAAACTGAGGTCTATATTTTCGTACTTTGTGTCAGATGTGTGCAAATTGTTCAATGATATGTTTCTCTCATGAGTGTAACAGTTTCTGGAACTTTCTGAAACTGTGAAGCAGCCAGAGCAAATCAAAGTCATGGTTGGCTGTTTCATAGTCTTCCCAATGTCTTCTAAGCATATGCATGTAGGCCCAGAAGACACTTCCATTGAGATAGGTGGCAAAGACAGTTTCTACAGAAAGCTTTAAACTTATAGTAATCAAGTGTAAAATCCCCACAACTCTAACTAATTTTCATATTATATACAGATGCTTCTAAAAATACAAAAAGAATGTGTTTTTCAGTTCTTACATATATAAATGATGATTAATTCTAAATTAGGGTATTATGGAACAGTGATTTTGGTATCATATCTTGTGTACTTTCAACCATGCACCATAACTTATTGGATATACTGTATTTGTATTTACACACATATCCAACACCCTACTCCATTTCATGGTAGGCAACATGATGCAAAGCACAGAAAAATAAGGAGTAAACCAAAGAAATTAAAGACATGATATAAGAGAAAATAAAACCTAACCAAATCTAGTTTACACCAACACCTTTCATTATATGTCTCCATACCTATTTAATTATGCAAACATTTTTATTTCTACCATGTCAATATACTTCTGTATACATTGGCTTTTCTTCCTTACATTTGTCATTTCTCCTCTGTGAAGATAAGATCAACTGCACTCAACCACATATTTCTCTTTCCTCTCAATCCATTCACTTTTCCTACATTTATTTGTTTTGTATTGCATTCATTTTCTCCATACAACCAAAGTATCTCAACTTATTTATTTTGTATTGGTCATATTGTATTCAGTTGATATTCATTCATCACCCACACATTCTCAACCAATCTGGCACATTTCTATTATAATACATATTACTTGATACCATTTTATAGCCTGGGATATCCAAAACGTTGTGTCCTCCCTCCCTCCCTCCATCTATCTATCGTGATTTATTACTATCCAGGTCTATCCTATCCAGAATTTCTTGAGAACAAATCAGTGGAGTAGATTACATAGCAATGTGTTGGCCAACAATGCACAACATTCAGATATACTTCTAAAATAATAAGGGAGCTAGAAAAAAAGTATTATTGTTCTAAGTATACATAAAGCAAGGAGATGCTACTTTTATTTTGTACATCCCTTTCTATACGGTGTAAAATTTTTAAAAATATTTTTTCTACTTTTAGGGCTATAGCAAGACTTGTTCATCTGTCTTACAGTAAAAATGTCTTTTAGGGTAATATGTTAGTATCTTCAATCACAGCAGGTACGTTGTTTTTCTTACTAACTTTTGTAACTCATTTTATAGCAGCCATTTTCCTACTTCTGATGTACAGTGGATACAATGCTGTTAGCCACAGAAAATGTATGAAGTTCAAAAGATATCAAATCCTATCTGTGAAAATGCAATAGTCATAAGCTAGGAAATTATAACTAATTGTGCTTCTCAATAATTTCCATTTGTTTTTGAATGTACTGTAAGGCTACTATTAAGGACACTCAAGCACAGCAGTAAAAATGTAGCAGCCCAACTGATGCATGTGCATGTGTGTGTGCACCTACACATACAGAGAAAGTAAGAGTCAGTAATGTGAATATAACTTTGGTAACCATAGTTACAATGACTTGAGGCTTCAGCTTCTACACTCAGCATTTAGTATGTTTATACTTTATATCAGTTTTTTTTACTAGATTCAGTGCATGCAACAACAAAATACTGCAGTGTTGGTGAAAAAGTCTTTCACTGGACATTTACTTTTTAAATTAGTATCCAATTAGAATTAATTATCTCCTTAGTCTGGCTGCACAAGTAGCTTCTACAAGTGCAACCATGCTTATAAATGATTCCAAGAAAACGACATGCAATCTAAGAGCTGCTTGTTAACTACCATGCTGAAGTAGACTGTGGGCATACTTTTCAGAAAGGAGACGGCTTGGACCATCCTAAGCATTTCTTCACCAATTTATGAAATGAAGCCTTAGGGAATGGAAGAGACTCCTATATCATGAAACATATGCTTTCTAAAATTCGGCAGACACATTCATAAAAAAAGAAACTACCATACCCTTATCATACATACATCAGCAAGAGGGGGAGTGCAAAATAAGAATAATTTTAAAAGTCCCACATAATGTATAATGATACCTTCATAATTACTGTGCTATAAATAGTTTTGAAATACATTCTATTGAGATATTGAGCATAACAATATCTGAATGCTAAAAAAAACTATTTCCACCATGTGCAGAACAAGATAAATTCAAAACCAATATTTAATCCAATAAATTTATTTTTTCAATAGGCAATTATTTCTATGAAAATTGTTCTAATGACGACAATATGTTTCGTGCTTACTTTCATCTACTTGATTTTCTTGTGCAATTTTTCCTCCTTGCTCCTCTTCTTCTTGCTCTTTTTGCGGCACTTCTTCTTGATGGCTTGAAGCACTGACAGAAAGTGTATGGCAGCAATGGTTGAACCCACTGTCCCGTGGCAGAGTGTAACTGCGGGGCTTTCCCCCATTCCCATTTAACACTTGTATTCGTTCACCCTCTAAAGGAAACGGGCCATAGTGATCCTGCAGATGGCATTTCTGAGTAGGAAGAGTTGATTGCCGCCTGTGTTCTGGAGAGAGAACAGCAGAGTCAGAAAACACTGAATCCTCAAGTGGCAGAGTCTGAAGGTAGTGTAACCCTGAGCTTGTCAGTGGTGTTTCTATCAAATCCTGCCAAGACCGTCGCTGACTTGCTGTTTTGCGGATGGGAGATTCAGTAGTACTCCCTACTGGCTCCTGACGGAACTCTTCATGTGAAGACTGGGACTGGGAAGTTTCAGTAGATGATAGTCGGCTGTGCTTTGGTTCCACAAAAGGACTTGCACAACTCATCTGCAACAGGAATAAACATTCTGGCTTGGAGACAATGATAAAATAAGCATACAATATACATTTAGGTATCTGATTATACACTACATATAGCTCTCTTAGTTACACATTCTTCTTTTTTTTTAAAGCATGCATATTAGGGCTGTGCATTCAAAAATGAACTGCTTTCAAAAAGATGATTCAGAAAATGTGCTTCAAACTAATCTGTTAATTGTAGATGGCAGGAGAATTTAAAGCAAAAATATCCTGGCTATTCCTTGAGAAGATATTATGTCACATAAATAAAATACACATTGGAAGGGACTAGAAGTCAAGTAATAAGTATTTTAAATTGCTTTTCACCCTTTGTATATCTGGATCTCCATTATTCATTATTTTGTATATTTCTATTTGATTCTATCTATTTTCCAAATAATACTTTTCAAATTTTAAGGAACAAGATAATGCATTAATTGCATGTAATCCAACTGCTCAATTAAGAGGATTATACGTAGTCCTCGCTTAATGACCACAATAGGGACCAGAAAATTGGTCATTAAGCAGGGTGGTTGTTAAGCGAATCACCACATGACCAGACCTGATTTTACAACCATTTTTACGATGGTTGTAAAGCGAATCACCATGGTTGTTACGTGAATCACATGGTTAAGCAAATCCAGCTTCCCCAATGGACTTTTTTGCTGAAATTCGCTTAACGACCACACAATTTGCTTAACAACCACAGTGATTCACTTTATGACTGTTGTAAAAAAGGTTTCAAATCACGATCACATGATTGTGGGGGGGTGTGACAGTTTGCGATGGTTCTAAGTGCGAGTACAGGTCATAAAGCACTTTTTATGAGGCCATTGTAACGCTGAACTATTATTAAATGAACTGTCATTAAGTGAGAACTACCTGTATTTAAAAAAAACACAAGTTATCGTTTAACTGATATGTTAATGTAGATGGCATGTTAATGACAAACAGTAATAAATCAGAAGGATAGCCTATAACCTTATATGACTGCAGATTTGAAATCTCCATCAGAGATCATTTCATCGTTAGTTACTACAGGTCCACAGCCAGATCCCAAGAAAAGAACTTACAGTATTCATTAGTATCTTCGGAATTCTCTTGCATGAATGCAACTCTGTAGTAGTTGAAAACCCATTCTCATCTAATTTCTTTGCATTTTCTAAGATTTTTAGTGATTTACCTTTTAATCTCTGTTATTTATGTGAGGATTGCTGAAGATTACTTCAGTTTGGCTACTCAGAACAACATCACTAAAAATCTCAGTCACTCCTGTGGCAGTAATATGAATGAAATTAAAAACAAAACCCAACTTACAAAATAGAAACATTGAAGGCAAGAATTGAGCAGATGTGGGACATCTCTGTTTAATTACTCTGCTTAATTATCCAGCAAATTATATACCACTTTTGAATCAGGGCCAGATGAACATTTCTGTAATTATTAATAGTAATTACTTCTAAAGAATCATCACTTCTTTAGAACCACTAAGTTAGTACTAACGTCTAAATTTAGTAACCTTCTTTAACTTTTAAAAAATAATAACTTTTAAAAATAATGTGTATTTATTGCAGTGCCAGGGTTTTTTTTGGGGGGGGGGAAGGGTTCTTTAACAGCATTTCCTGGAAGGGCCATGTGATCACATATAATTGCCCCAGAAAGTATGTGTAAGTCTCTTATCTTCAAAGACTTGGGTTCTGCTGTAAGTGACAGGCTTTTAAAGTTGTTGTTTAAAATAGAGAATACAACATTTGGCTACCTTGTAAATTTGAGAATATCTATCTTCCAAGGATATTTTTTTTCAAGGAAAAGGATAAAGAATGAATGTATTTTCATCTGAAGGATTACACTTTCCTGGAAAATATTATATACTGGCTAACAAAGAAATCTTGTTTGTATTTTAGTTAAGTTTGGCAATATGCAATTAAAACTAGTTCTTTTTGGGATATTCTAAGACAGGGGTTCTCAAACTACGGCCCGCAGGCCGGATATGGCCCGCCAGGGTCATTTATCCAGCCTGACCGCCTGATTGGCTGCCGCTGCTGTCTCTCAGAAGCGGAAGTGTCGGGGCTGTATCGGGAGCTGCAGGCGAGGCACGAGGAGAGAGATCGCAGAGCTGGACTCTTCTACATTACAGGTATACCGGGCTGTCCGGCGGCTCTCCTCGTACTCTGCAGGAGGGATCCTCCGTGCAGGGTGATCAGTGTCGTTCTCCAAGCTGCTTGTGTCATTCTTTCTCCCAATTGCCTACCCCGTTCTTGCAATCCCTCGGAAACCATCTGGTCTTCCCCAGATCTCATGAGTACAGGCGCCCTATTTGGAGAACGGCAGGAGCCCCGTTCTCATGGTGCTTCACGTTTGCATTTTATATTCCTTCCTGTTTTACCCACACAATGGATTTCATTGAGAATGTCATTAAAATATTCCCAATAACCTGCTGCCATTTTAGTCAACAGAAGGCACTATCAGTGCCTGAAACTTATTTCCAAGATTAAATTCCAGTTTTACAGGGACAGTGCTGATTTTGGGGAAGGCATCCTCGAACTAATGGGAGGGCTCAAAGTAGAGCAGGCAGAACAGTATGGGAACAGTTTGGGAACAAGTAGCCAAAGAAATGATGTCTTTCCATTACCCATCAAGTCTCGGGGTACCTTATGGTGGAAGGGAACATGGGAATGAAGCTATTCCATTATCCATTTTACTGGACCTGATTTCCAAAAATAAAAACTTGGATATACGAATATTAAAAAATGCATACATGTATACAAATCTACAAGTCAATTTCCCCAAAGTCACAGACCTGATTTCCAAAAATAAAAACTTGGATAATGGAGAGAGTGGTCAATTGATTGTTAGTCATTTATTAAATTAATTTGGCCTGGAAATAATTTTTCATAGAGTGTAAAAGCACAACAGGGAACAGGAATGTTTGGAACTACTTAAAGTTGCTTCATTCCGGAGAAGCTCTTCTAAACATCTTTGTGTCCTTTTTCTTCTGGTAATTTTTGCCTGTGACTTTGGGGAAATTGACTTGTAGATTAATTTGTATACATGTATGCATTTTTTAATATTCATATATCC